AAGAACCCATTTCAAGGTTCTTCAGGGTGTTTTACATCTTCCACCTGCACCCCTGCGAGTTGGATGGGGCCAATCCTCCACCCAAAACCGCTCTGCACAGCGCTTACATGCAGATCGAGCCGTGTTACTGGAGCATGCATGTTCGCCAAAGTTCGAGCTCTCGTCCAGGCCGTCAGCACACGGGAGTTTATTCATTCAAGACTGTCAACTGTCAACTCAAGGTCAGCAGAATATTGATTGCAAGTCTGTAGAAGTTGGCCGGCTTCTGGGCTGGATCTCTGACATTCCTTGACATTGCATCACCCATAAAGACATAGCTTCTGCGGACAAACATGGATTGAGATTTAGGGGATCTATGAGTGTGGAGTGTGGGCTTCAGGCTTTCGGGGTTTCGGCTTAGGGTAGGGTTTCGGATTTAGGATTTAGGATGATTTAGGGTTTAGAGTTCCATGTTCACACATTGCAGGCGAGCTCTTGCCCTCGCCCCTTTGACGCGAAGCCCTTCTAAACCTTAAATCCCAGACTCAAGGGCTCTTCGTGGCCTTCTGTGAGCACTCGAAGTAAGCTGAATGCTGCTTTGAAGGCTTCAGGACCCTGCGTAACGGATCCCGAAGATATCTCGTAACGACGACGGCCCTGGAACCCTAAACTTACAGCTTTCATGCCATGAGCTCTGACTTAGGGTCCCTTTTGGGGTTTAGGGCTTAGGGTCTGCACTACTTGCTGAAAGACTGCGGGAAAGTTCTTCTCGGACTTGAGATGCGCGGCTTCGTCACGTCGGCTTGGAATCGTATCTTTGTGATCGGTAGCTCTTGATACAATGGCACTGTGAGGTCGAAAGTTTCACCAGAACACCGGTCCGAAGCGAGGTTTGGCGGGTGAACCAGCTGGCTGACTGCCCACTGCTTCGCCAGAAGAGCATCAGGAGTTGGGCTCACCGAGCTCCCTTGTCCGAATCCAAACTTACACTGGACAGATAGGAACCATCGTGCAGGGCGTTTGTGTTCAACAGTCCCCAAAGTTCTTCCCTTCCGTGGGCTTTGGCATAGCTCCCGATCGGAAAAGCTTGGGAGGTTCGACCGTGCATGCTACTAAAGCTTGCTCGAGGTTCCTCAGGGTCGGGTTTGGAATGTCATGTGGGTAAAGGGCTCCTATAAGTCCTTGAAGAGCTCCTTTAAGGGATCTGTAGGGGGTTCCTTTAAGGGCTCCTTGGAGGGTTGATTCAAGGGGTCGTTTAGACTGGGACAGCTTCATCCAGCAAAGCCGCTCTTGTCTTGCATCCCCTGGCCGTAGCATCATCGAATCTTGTTCGTTGCTATACCGTGGCCACCAGGGCCACGAGATGTAGCTTTTCAGTGAAGAGTTTGGGCATTTTGGTTGACTCAGTTGGCAGAGCCTGCAGGTTCAGACTAAAGATCACTCCACACGCTGTCCGACAATTCTGGAGCAATTCCTTTGCCGGTGAAGTTCAGCGTATACAGAACCCGTGCGCGCAAGCCCGACACAGCTGGCATGGCTTTTGCGGCGGGTGTCCAGGTATCCATCATAGCTTGGCCAAGCCCTTTCCAGTGCCACCGCTGCTGAACACGTCTGAAGGCCAGCAGAGGAAGGCTGCAGACAATTTCATTTCTGGCCGTGGCCATTCCGGCTGCCGCTGTGCCTTTACCGGACCTTCGCTGCCCGGCTGGCATGCTCAGGAGCAACGTGCCCCTGTGCTCCTCGATGCATGTAGCCGCAGTGCCCCCGAGTTCATGACGGCAGACCTTGCGGAACAGGAGCCCTTTACCCCTGCTCAAATCGGGGTTTAGGGTTTAGGTTTCTCATGGGCAGGTGTTCCTATCCAGGCCCCATTTCGTACCTTCGCCACAGCCATCCTTCACTGCGCTTTTGCTGGTGCGTGAACACGCTATCTTCTGCATGTGGTGGTGTACTAGAAGGTGTTGCATTGTGTTGAGTGCTTCTCGGCATCATCCACAGAAGCACATGCAATCATTTCCTTGGCAGCCACAGGTGCGACCAAGTTTGCAACGCATCTTCTATCTGAGATCCTTTGCAGCTTATGAAGTTGCCTGTAGCGCTTTCCTGAAGAAAGACGGCAGTCGCAAGTAGAGTGAACGATTCTGCATTAACGAAGCTGTAGCTTTCACCCGATGGTGCTCACCTGCAGCAGTCCCGACCAGACGAAACCGTCTGCAGCAAAAGCACTAATTGCAGAATCCCGCGACAGTCTTCCTGCCGAAACCCTTAACCGAACTATGACCGCTTTTGCCCTTTCAGTTGAATTAAGCAGGCTGCTGGAAGAGCTCACTGAGCTTCACATCTCTCCGTTGTTTGCCCTTTCCCTTCCCTTTGCGCTTAATGACCCAGCAAGTCCTGAGACGAGGTTTTGAGTTCCGGCCTCTGTAGATCTCTTCTTTTTGGAAACAGTCGACACACGTTACCCGGTGATCAGCCTGCTTGTCTCTTAAGGTCTTAAAACATACTTGCAGCTCCCGCTGTTTCGAGTGAAAATGTCTCAGGTAGCACCGAAGGCAACATACCCGGTTACCGTTGTCACTGCATCGTGTTGGCTCGTCAACCATTAGCACCGTTAGCATGCAGAGCTGAGCCAGGTTCGAAGCTGCAACAACTGGCATCCAAAAGGCGACACCTTTTGTATTCCAGAAGCTGGCAACCTTTACCAGGCAAACCTTTTTTCTTTGGTGCAACTTTGCAGACTTTGCCCCCACCAGAGAGAATTGCCACCCGTGCCTGTAACCATTGTCATAGATCATACCGCTTTGGGGATGATGGGCATCAGCAGGTTTAGACGAAGGATCTTCATGCGAGCTCTGTGTGATTTGAGAATGCGAGCTCAGCGTCGGCATGTCAGCATTGCAGTATAACTAGGCTGCGTTGACTGCAAGTCTGATGTCGCAGATTTCTTATCTGTCTGCTGAAACACTCGAATTCCACATGTTTCAGCGCATGCTTGCCACCGTCTGTGGCCGTACAGGTGTTGCTCCAGAACCAGTGGTCATGGGAAAGTGTTCTAGGCAAAGCTTTACGGTGATGCTCCGGTCGCCACTGCGCTTTGACTCCATGCCGTCTCGATGTGATCTTGCGAGGTCATCAAACACTCTGGCTTCCGTCATGCAGTCACGTGTTGTTTTCCAGGCTTTTGCTGCTGCAGTCCTTCATTTGCATGTGCAAGGTCATTGGTTTCCACTTGATGTTAGATGCTTGTTTTTGTGGAGCAGTGATTGTTGCAGACAAGAATAAAACATCTAGACGTCTTCAACGTAGGTTCACATGGTTCAAGTTCTCCGAAAGCGAGAACATGAGTTGAACAAAAACTGCCCGGTCAGGGCACGTCGGTCGAAGAGCTTCGAATTATTCATGAATGCTTGTCGGTCTTCAATGTGCGCACACTGGCTTGCCGGTCCGTCGCAGGGTTTGTAACAGTGGAGGAAGTTTAACGGCCTCCGAAACAGCAGGTCGTAGATCAGCTCGCAGTCAAACAAGGGGCCATACGACGACAGATGCCATTTCTTGAGCACTGCGATGCGTGTCAAGATGCACTCCACAATCAAAAAGAAGCCACATTAATTTGGCTTGGAGTCTAGAGCACGTGTGGCTTCTTGTTTCTTGTATGTCGGAGAAGGCTTCCAGCCTAAACAAAGATTTCAGGGGCAGCCCCTTGGTTGTTGTACGACGTTATTTGAATGGTGCCGGGATGCTTGATTTTTGGCTCCCCTCTTGCCTGGATGTTCATTGATATCGATGGATGTCCAGAGTCTAATCTTCATTGTCGCTAGATTAGGAGTGCTTAGCCCTGGTGCGTAGTTGCTTGGCAGTAATTTTGGTACGGAGTTACTTTCTCGGTTCTTTAGAGCCGCTTGTATAGGGTTGCAGCCTCACTCATCAGGCCGACTCACTCCCAAAATGTGGAGTTTCCTGGGTCGTTCGTGGATGCTTCGTCCCCAAACCTTTTGGGGACGACTTAGACACCTCACCTTTGACCTTGCATGATAGTGCAGACCATCGAAGTCACAAGTTCGCGAGTAGCACTCAAACAGGCTGACTTGTATGCCCGGTGTGTGGGCTCGTTGATGTAAAAGAGCATGTATCAACCACAGAGACCATCAATGCGCAACAAGAGTGTCCGGCTCGTCATATTCGGGACAATGGATTGCTCCACTTTGTTCCCAGACACTCTAAAACCGCTTCATTAAGGAATATACTTTAAACCATATTAGAGTTTCTAATATAATTAAGCTATATTCCTTAATAAAGAAGTTTTGGAGTCTCTGGGTTCCTGTTATCACGATCCATGTTGCAAGAGCCCGACCTCCGGCCGAGAGTAGCTGTGGGCTATGTGGGAGTGAATTCACCGGTGTCGTTGGTTTTTCTACCATAGCATGACTACAACGTCTGAGCGTCTGCAGGTCCCGAAACCCCAAACTGCAACCCTAAACCCTAAACCCTATTCTTGAATTTGATTTGCACGACGCAGTAGGGTGAGTTGCTGTGCCTTGCCTATTCGCAATGTCTGTGGTTCCCTAAACCCTTTCAGGCTCAGAAGGCCGCTGTCGTAGCTTTGCCCACAGGCTGCAAGTCTCTGGGTGACCATGGGCTCCGCGGCGTCATCGAAACTCTCGGAAAAGCTGGGTGATGCTTCATCGCCCCGCGGCTTAGGGTTTGAGGGTTTTGGGGTTTTAGGCTCAGGGATCAAACAAACTTCAAAACTTAAAAATTACATATGTATAAAGGAAACTTTTCAGCATACCTTTCAGCATTCACAATTTAGGATCCCTGTGCTGTAAAACTTGGTCAGGCAGCAGCTCTCTGACATCGTGTCAGGGTTGAGCCACGATGAGAAAGGCAAAATCCAAGCGGCTTTGGCTGGAATGGCCGGACCGACAGACACCCTCGACCCTCTAGATGCAAAACTGGTGTGGGGCTCAACCGGGAATTCAGTTCAAGCTCAGATTGACAGATCGCGATATTCGTCATAGTTCGAAGGGACTAGCCCAGTTTGTCGTACTGGTAGAAGTGTCGCAACTGTAAGAGTCGGAGCAGCAGTAGAAGTAGGAGAAGTAGTAGCGGTAGTAGTAGCAGTAGCAGTAGTAGTAGTAGTAGTAGTAGTAGTAGTAGTAGTAGAAGTAGAAGTAGTAGTAGGTGTGCGTGTACGTGTAGGTGTATGTGTAGATGGTAGTAGTGGCAGCAAGATCGGAAG